TTTTTACATGATGTGCTTATATGAATAGTGATTATAGAGAGGTCGGTTATACTGTAATTCACAGGTTTCAAACAAAGACAAAATTATTTCTATTAGATGCGCTTCTATACCAATTTAGAAAACAAATTATACCTAAATAAAATCTTAACAAATTAATATTGTGTGATCAATTAGCTTGCAAAATAAATTAATTATACAAAAAAAAATCAGAATAAAAAAAAAAACAAAAAATAAAAGGATATAAAGATACGTTGTTATAAATAACCTCCGTAATTCATTATATCTACTCTACATCTTTAAAAAATGGAAAATTTTTCAGAGTTCAATGCTGAAGACTATGCTGACAATCAGGAAGCGCCTCTTGAAGAATTATTTAATCATTTGGATCACTTTATTAATTATCTTCAATATGATAATATTAATATCGATCAATTTTTATCTGCTGGTACAACTTTAATTAAGCGTGATAAAAATCCTCCTCGTGGTAAATCCATAGAAGGCATTGAATATAGTATTCCACCGGATACTGATTTTCATAAATGGGTACAAGAATTCGAAAAATCGACGGGAGCACTCTATATAAAATGTCAAATATTTCATAATGAGGGAAATGTAAGTTTGCGAGTAATCTACAAATGTCATCGTGCTGTGACCTACCAAAGCATAGCAGGTAAAGATCAATCAATAAAAGAACCACAACCTAATCAAAACCAAGCAAAAAATGTGACTGTAAATCACGCATTATTGTTGCTAATACAAACACACCTAATGGAAAACAAATGATTATTAAATATACTCCCCATACTAATCACATTCCTGGCTCTGATAATGACATTGGCATATTAAGACTTTCTAAAGAGATTCGTAATTGGATTACTGAATGTATTCGAGATGGTCTTAATGTCAAAGGAATTAATCGACTGTTCCAAAAGTGAGCTCAGGATATGTCAAAAGTCTGGGAAAATAGAAATAAAACAAATGCCATTATTATAAGAGATAATCTTGTAACCCACGATGATATTTACAACATCTAGAAAGAAGCTATTGTTGATAATCAGATGAAACATAAATCTGAAGCGCAAAGTATAGAATTGTGGAGAATTGAGCTCAATCAAAAAAATGACCTTACCTGCGCAATTCCAAAAGCAGAAGGTAAATTCCTTTTATCTTTTTATTTTTATTTATTTTATTTTATTGTGCTTATTTTATTTATTTTATTTTATTCTTTTTTTTGTATTTTAATTTACTTTTTATCTTACTTTTTTTTTTTTTATTTTATTTAATGTTTTATTTTTATTTTTTATTTTTTTTAACCTTTTTTT